CCAACCCCCACGTGAGAACCTCAGGGAAAAGTGGCTTTAAGACTGGCCATCATCTAGGTAGGAGAAATCATTCATCAGGAAGCCAAGGTGGGGCAAGGAGCCTGAACTAGGGGCTGAGCACTGAGAGGCCCAAACCTTTACTACTACTTCCCTTCTCAGCTGTGTCCCCAGCCCTGCAGTACCCAGCCAGGCCCTCTGAGGAGGAAAGGCGGCTGCAGTGTGAGCTCCAGCAGCTCAAAAACCAGCTGGAGTTTGTGTTGGAAGAGCTAAATTCACAGAAGAAAGAAAACTACAGCCTGTCTGTGAGAACGGTGGAACAGGAGCAGCAGCTGGCCCAGATGCAGGACAGTGTCCTGAGGCTGGTGCATGGCCACTCCTTGCTGGTCTCCTCCCTGCCAGGTCCTTTAGGGCAGAGCAGCACACTGAGCCCCCTGTGTCCTTCCCCCCTCAGTTAAATGGGGGCACTGCAGCCCTCACTTGTGAGGGTGTCCTGTGAGTCACAACCCTGCTGGAGCATCTGCTGGGGGCAGGGGATGATTCTCCATTGTGCCTGCCCCAAGGACACCGAGGGTGGGTCTTGGGTCTGGCTGTATTGGTGGCACTGATTCCCCTTCTCTGTAGAGTGAAGAGAACATGAAAATGGCCAGTGCGCTGCAGTCAGAGCAGCTGGAGAGGAAGGAGCTGGCCAGGAAGCTGGGCCAGCTGCAGGAGAATATGTTAGAGCTCACGGCATTGGTAACTCCTGCCTGCCCATGAGACTGGGCTGGGACAGAGGTGCTGCCATGGGGAGGGGAGGTGCTGGGCCAGGACCGAACTCCCACAGTGGGGGACAGGTTACTCCAGAGCCCTGCCCTTCTTGCTGAGCAGTTCTGTGACTGCTTCCTGCTCTGTGCCTCTGATGGGTAGATGTGGGTGGCCCTGGGCTCCTCCCAAGTCCTGATGTCACTGTCCCTGCTTAGAGGCCTGAGAACCCTGATCCTAGGAAGAGACAGGGTGGGAGAGGAGGCTGATTGAGTCTGAGCTGCATTCTGATCTCAGCTGCCCTGGTCACAGTTTCAGTGCCTCCATCACCACGCCTGGGTGTCCACCACCTGAAGAGGATGTCAGCCTTTTCCTCTTGACCTGGTGGATTAAATGAGACAGTGTGTGTGAGGCTGGGCCAGTGCTTAGTGGCTGTGGGCTGGCTTCCTCTGATTCTGCACAGCTGTGGTCTGAAGTCCCAGGGCTGGGAAAGGAGGTTCTGAGGCTTGAGGCTGGGTGCAGAAGGCCAGGGCTCTGAGTGCCCCCACCACATTCGTGAGCTCAGGCTCTGGAGCAGCAGCTCACCCTCTCTCAACTCTGGGTCTTCTGCAGATGGGGCTGAAGAGCCAGGAGGCCCAGCAGCTGCAGCAGGAGGGGAACCAGCTGCTGTCCCAGGAGTGGCAGCATGCTGAGGCCTGGCAGCAGCTGGTCACTGAGGAGGCCTTGTGTAGGCGGGTTCTGCTGCACGGGCAGCTGGTGAAGCAGCTGGAATCTACTGAACAGAAAGAAAATGTGGCCCTGGCCAGGCTCTGCCAGGAACTGTGGGAGACTCAGGTGATGAAGCTGCTGAGGCGGGGCTCTACATAGGAGGCCCTGGCTGTCTCTGACTTCTCACTTTCCGTGCTGCCCACAGGAGGGCCTGGAAGCCTCCAGGCTGCAAGATCAGCAGTCAGCCCCACAGAGAGTCCTGGCCCTGGCCGGGGAAGTTGAGTGGAGATGCCCAGGGCAGGGTGGGCTGAGCAGAGCTGTGAAACAGAGAGCTGAGTGGAGAGAGACCTCTAGAGTGCTGCTCATTCTCTCCCAGAGGGCGGTGTTCCAGGGGGACCTGGCAAGGTGGGTGAAGAGGGGGCCTTGGGCTGCTCTGCCTCCCTTGTGTGGCTCACTGGGGACCCTCCTGGCTGCTCCCAATTTGAAATGAAGGCGATGTGGAGGAAAGGAGTGTGGAGACTCCTCTATCTGACAACACCACCCCTGAAGACTCGGGCCACACAGAGGCCATGGTGAGCAGGTCTCCACTTTGTCCCTTCTCCATGTGTCCTTCCCTGTCTCCTTCTGTGGTCCCTTTGGACACCCCAGTGCCTTGCTTTCCCCACCCTGTTATTTCCATGGACCTCACAGCTTCCCTGGCAGGCTGTGGTCAGACGTTATCCCCTGGGAACCTCCGGTGGCAGGGACAGTGGGGAGCTCCTTTCTGCTTTCCCCATTTTGTCAGGAGCAGTACCCCCGCAAAGCACACCCACTTCTTCAGATGGCTTTATTTTTTAGTACCAGGGATCGAAGTCGGGTCCTTGCGCTTGCGCAGCAGGCAGCGAAACCACTGAGCTAAATCCCCAGCCCAGATGACATTTTTAATGATGGTCCTACCCCTGTCCAGGAACAGCAGGCTCCGCTGCCCAGGGACCTGAGGCAGCAGAAAGGGCAACGGTGCTACCAGACCCACGTGGCAGCCCTAACCCAGGACAAACCTGAGGATGAAGCTCGCACCCCCAGGAGGAGGCGTGACCCTGTGTCCATGGGGAAGCTGCCAGTGAGTCTGTCCTGCCAGGCCAGGAAGGGTGGGCAGGGCAGGTGGGCACAGAGGCCTGACCCTGGTGCTCTGGCTCCTTGTGCTGGAGGTCTTGCAGGAGGAGGCAGCGAACAAGGAGGGGGTAGAGGAACTGGAGCATCAGTGGCTGGAGCTCTGTGGGGACACAGGCGACATCGGTGAGCCAGGCCAGGGCCAGGTAGCAGAGGCTGTAAGGTGTTGGGTCGGGGTCCCAACAAAGGATGCCTGAGTGCTGTCCTCCTCTCCACTGTGGAGCTCACTGCCATGTGTCCCAAACAGTGGGCAGTAGCAAAAGAGGGGCATCAGGAGGATGAGAAGGTGGTGGAGGAGGAGGAAGAGGAGGAAGAAAAGGAGGACGAAGAAGAGGAAGAGGAGGAGGAGCAAGAGGAGGAGGAGGAAGAAGATGAAGAGCAGGAGGACAAGGATACGGAGGAGAAAGCAGAACAGGAGGAGCACCAGTGGAGCAGCCAGCTGTTCCCAGTGCAGGAAGAGCTGCAGGTAGGGCTGAACATCTCCTAGACTGCATCAGGGCACACACTGAGTCTTGTCCCTCTGGGTAAAGCTGCTTGTGCTGCAGGACGTGGAGCTAGGGCTGGAGGATGATCACAGGTTGATTCAGGGAGAGTTTGGTGCCGCTGCACAGAGCCATGGTGAGGAGCCCACTCCAGGGCCCATGGACACCCAGGACATTGCCAGTGCAGCTGTGGAGGGTGGTGAGTGGAGTTGGTGAGTGGAGCCCTGGGAGGGTGGCCAGGGTAGGAGTGGGCAGGGGCACAGCACTCAGTGCCTGCTGCTCTCTCTCCAAAGATCCTCCAGAGGCGAGCCCTGCTCACACTGAGGAGCCCCCAGAAGAGGCTGGGGCGGGATCTTCCCCAGAACCCCAGCTGCCTGACAGTGAGAACTCCATCAGGGCCCAGGCTTGGGACTTCATCCCTTTGGCCCCTGCATTCAATTTGGCTCCCGCATTGAGGAAAAGGACTCCGTGGACCTCATTTTGATTCAAAGCATTTCACCAGCAAAGCCTGGAGAAGTGGGGCCCGGGCTCTGTCCCCCCTGTTCCCCATTCAGCCCCTGCCTCCCTATCCCTCCTCTCCTCCCATCTCCGTTATTCCCATAGGAGCAAGGTGAACTCCACAAATTCATTGTTCTTTCAAAATATTTTAACTTGTACATTTCTAAAGAAATTAAAAATCACAAGAAAAATGTAAAGATATTCCATCAAATGAACAAAAAACTTTAGAAAAACTTCTAAATAAAAATTAGAAAATGTTTTATTTTTATAAAATTGCTTTCTGCGTCAGGACAGGAGGAGGAAACAGAGATGGGATCATGGTGCCCTGGTCCCGGGGGTCCTGTTCAATTTGATTTCATGTGGTTGGGAATAAATGGCTTTCATCCCACTGCCTGGCCCAGCCTGTTCCCCTCCCAGGGTCCTGTGCTGCCTGAACATGGCAAGGATCAGGTAGTGGCCCTGCCAGCAGAGGGCACGCTTCAGGCTGTGCAGAGCCCCAGTGTCTGAGCTGGTCCCTCAGGGCTGGGGGGCATCTTCCTGTCCTATCACCTGGACACTGCTGAGGCAGGGCGAGGGCACCGCCATGGGGGCTCCAAGGGCATCCTACCCTAAGGGGCCACACACAGGTGCCTGACCTGACAGTGGGGAGGGAACGCAGTGGGCATCACCTAAGGGTGCTGACCTGCAGTGCAGGATTTCCACTTCCTGCCCTGGTCCTGGGCCTGTCCACACCTGATGGCTGGTTCCTCCTGTCCAGCCCTGCCCAGTGCAGACCTCAGCCCCTCTTCAAACAGGCTGTTTGTGGCCCTGCCCCTAGTCAGAAGAATTATTGGTACATATTTGGGTAAGAATCTTCTATGGGACTGTTCAGCAATGCTGGATCTCTGAAGACTTTGTTGACTCTACGAGAAGGAACAAATTCATTGTGCCTGAGACAGATAGGAGTCTTTTGGGGATAAAGGGTGGAATGGTACAGTGTAGTCTAAAATGCCCCTCAAAAGTCTCATGTGTTTGGAAGTTGATTGGACAGCAGGGGCAATGTACTCAGTTGAGGAGTCATCCATTGATGACTCATGTCATCTTGACTACCAAAGTGCTTCCTGGAGGGTTTCCTTTACTCTTGTCCTATACTGACTATCCTCCAAACTGCATCAAGCAAGATTGTCCAAAATGTTAGTGAAGAGTTGGCCTCCTGGTTAAAAATAAATTTTTTTTTTTGGTACCAGGGATCGAACTCGGGTCCTTGCGCTTGCGCAGCAGGCGGTGAAACCACTGAGCTAAATCCCCAGCCCACCAATCCTTTTCTTTTTTTTTTTTGGTACCGGGGATCGAACTCGGGTCCTTGCGCTTGGGAGGCAGGCGCCAGAACCACTGAGCTAAATCCCCGGCCCAACCCTTTCTTAATACAAGAAAAGACCAACATTCTGCCCAGCTGGCACATTTATTAGCATTAAACACAAAACCCTTCCCTTCAGGATACCAGGAAGCCACGGTCACAAAGTTCCAGGCCCCTATAGTGTCCCTCTGCCCCCCTTTATTTTTTTGAGACAGGGTCTCGCTATGTAGTTCAGGCTGGCCTCAAACTCACAGTGATCCTCCTGCCTCAGACACCCAAGGCATGTGCCACTCTCTGTCCCATTTCTACACCATACTCTCAGGCCTTGGCAGTAGCCTGAGCTGCCCCCAGGGCTGTGAGCTGCTGAATCTTCTGGCTCATCATTTCCATGACAGCTGTGGGGAAAAAGAAAGAATTACACCTGGTCAGGAGCAAGGGAAGAGGACCTAGAGTGAAAGAAAAGTAACAGGTGGATAACCAACTCTGATTGTTGATTAAAATTTTTAAAAGTGATCCACTGTGGGGAACACACACTAACAAATTTAGAGTCTACAATGTATCAAATCAAAGTTATCCACTGGGATATAAAAATGTATAATATTAAATCAGTCAGAGATAAATCAGAAAATCATAATGTGGGGATTTCTGGAAGCTGGGGTTTCAGCTCAGTGGTACAGCACCTGCCTAGCAGTCACGAGAACCTGGGTTTTTTTTTTTGTTTTGGTGTGGGGGGGGGTTGGTACCAGGGATTGAACTCGGGTCCTTGCGCTTGTGAGGCAGGCAGCAGAACCACTGAGCTAGATCCCTGGCCCAGAGAACCTGGGTTCTAACCTCCCCCCACACACCAATTTTCTTGCCTTTAAAAGAGTGGTCTTCATCTTGTCTAATAATCACCAGTTGAGTTTTGTTTTGTGGTACTGGGACTGAACTCAGAACCTCACACACTAGCCAAGTGCTTGATCACTGAGCAATTACCACTAATCCTTATTTACTCATTTTAAAAAAATTTTTATTAATACTTTCAGACAGGGTCTTTCTAAGTTGTCAACACTGGCCTTGAACTTGTGATCCTCCTGTCTCAGTCTCAAGTAGTTGGAATTATAGTTGTGTGCCACCATGCCTGGCATCTAGTGACCTTTAAAAAAAACAGACCATAGGGATAACTGCACCGATCTCCACTTCCAAATTGATTTAGTCTGGAATGGATCCAGTCTTTCTTTTTGAACTTCCTGAAGTATTCCAACTTGTAACCAGGGTTGTAACTACTAGTGTTTACTTAGGATTGTTTCCTTCCTGTGTTTATGTATATCTCATCCCCCATCTTATCCTTGTTAAAAGATATAGGAGCTTCACAAAAGCAGATAGGACTTCCTTCCTCTAAAATTTCTGAAACACAACCCAGGAATCTACAAATCATGGGCATGTAACACAGAATCTAACGAATAAGATACAGGTGGCTTGAACCACAAGTGATACATGCATGACTGTCCCATCAGGGAGCTGGTACCACTGCTCGTAGAAGTAGGACAGTCACATGCACTCACTGCTGGTGGTTCAAGCCAGTGGGAACGCATTAACGCATTAATCCAGCAAAGGGGACAACCCCAAGGTTTAGACAATCCACGTTCTTTACTGTAGAGGCAGAAAGGATCAAATGGTGCCCCAGGCAGAGCTTACCTTGTTTCATGGCATGCTTCTCCTGTAGGGCTGGCTGAATTTTCTCCATCTGCTTGGTGAGGAAGTCTATCTTCCTTCTGAAGAAGTCCTTGGCATCTTCAGCTGTCTGCATAATCAGAGGCGAATGAAGGGGTAAAAGGAAACTCTGTCCTACTCTGGAGATCATCCCTAAACTTCCTTTCCCTACTCAGAGGGACACCCACATGCTTTCTCCCACTCACCTTCTCCACGTAGTAGCCAGTTCCCACATCGATGAGCACGTGTTCTACATCATGTAGCTTCCCAGGGACATACATCTGAGAAGCAAGGATTAAGGGAAAAACTAGCCCAGCATGAGCCATGATTCCATCAGGCAGCATGACAGCCCTACTAGGACCCTCCTTTTCTCAAAGGTACAAGACATGAGGCCTAAATAATTTAGAGCCCTTAGAACTGTAACTCCAAGTGTTGAGAGACAGAGAAGTTGGTTCCTTATGCAGAAAATGATATGTGCTGGAACACTCTTGTCATGATCCCATTTCTTACGTTCAAGCAGTTCTTGTAATTCTTCCTATTAGCCCCATCCTGAAAGGCCAGATACAATGTTTTCCTACTGCTCTAGACCAGTGTAGGTGAAAAACCAGCCTCACTTCTCCTAAGCCATGAAAGATTTAATGTTTATTAAACCATTTTCCACTACACTGCCATTTCTGTTTCTCTTTAGCTTCTCAGTTTTGTTTTGTTCTTGAGGTATTGGAGATTGAACCCACAGCCTTTGCACTAAGCTATATCCCCAGCCCTTTTGAGACAGTATCTTGTGAAATTGTCCAAGTAGAACTTGAACTTGATATCCTCCTGCCTCAGTCTCCCACAGTGCTGGGATTACAAGCATGTGCCACCATGCCTGGCTAGCCTCAGTTCTTAAGACCACAAATTCCAGGTCTTTGTTGCCATACCTTGTTCCTGTCAAGTAAAACATTCAACAAGTGGACACAATCCCGGTTTCTTAGTGACAGTAATTTAGGAATGAGCTACAATTAGGCTGAAATTGAGGATTAATAAACACCAACAACTTCTCCATTTGCATATCCTCCATTCCTCTATTGCTTGTGTTCTAAGTTACTAGCACGAGTGTAAGGCTCCAGCTTCATCTCCATACTAGATTAATATTCTCAAACGGCAATGAGAAATATCACACTTCAACTCTTCACACTCTTTGTTACTCATAAGGTATTAGCTGGACGTTGGTTCAAAGTTAGGTAAGAGATCAATGAAGTGTATATAAGAGTGTTCTCAAAATCACGGCGGGGGGGACCTCTAGAGTAAACAGAGTGGGGAGTGAGGGAGAAAGCGCGGTAGCGGTTCCTGTGGAAAGGATACAGAACTCGTCAGTGGGACGAGTAATTCTTTCCCTGTGAAAGCAATTAACATAAACACCTAGAGAAGGTTGGCAACTCCCACGCGAAGACATTAAAGAGAGCTCCACCAGGACACAGCGCCCACAGAGTGACGAGAACGGAAACAGGCGACAGGAGCAGGGGAAGGTCTTGTATATTTCAACTCTCCATAGGCAACATGCAAAGGCTGATGAAGCAGCACATGGTACGTAAGAGATTGCTGTCTCTAAGGAAGATCGGGTTAGGAAGTGGGACGAGAGAAGCCGGCTCAACTACTCCTCCCCAGGCAGCTTCACCCCCTACCCCATACCCTCGTTGCTCTTGTTCAGCACGTTCAGACAGTCCTTGGCTTCCACATACTTGGTCTGTACCACCTTGAGCTGGGCGATGGACGTGGACAAGAACTCCACTTCCTACAGGGGTTGGGAAAGAGGGTCAGAGTAGGAGCTGGGGGAGGAGAAGGGCACCGCGGGGCCGGGGAGGGTCTGGGACCCGCAGGGGTCTCGCCAGGCAAAGGAAACCTCCCAAGCTGGGACGCAAGGGGGCGAGGGGATACGCGAGAGCAAGAGGTGAGTAAGGACAAGAAAGTTGCCGCCGATCCCCGTACCCACCTGGTCCAGCTGGTTCTTAAGCATTTCTAGTTGTGGCAGGTTCAGCTCGGTGATGTTAACTGACTGCGCCATGTTGGGAAGGAGAACCACTGAAGAGGAAGTCGGCTGGGCGATTAACGCTCTAGCCGTCCTCTGCGCATCTCTATGGCTGGACCAGGAGGCCGCGCTGCGCCACACATCTCTATGACCCTGGGTCTTGGAGGGTGGGGCGGGCTGGAATGTAGATTGGAGTAGGTAACTGAATCACACCGTATCCTAAACCTAGGGTTATAACGCTGTAGCAAACATTACTTCCGCCCAACAGGAATTTAAAAATGTTTAAATTCTAGGGCCGGGGATTTAGCTCAGTGGTTTCGCCGCCTGCTGCGCAAGCACAAGGACCCGAGTTTGATCCCCGGTTCCAAAAAAAGAAAAAAAAAAAAAAGTTTAAATCCTGAGACCTAAACTACACTTTTTTAAAAAAAATTCATTTTAAAAAATATTTTTGATATCGGGGATTGAACTTGGGACCTTGCGCTTGGGAGACAGGCGCCAGAACCACTGAGCTAAATCCCCAGTCCATAAGTTTAGTTTTTTGAGACAGGGTCTTGCTCTGTAATTCAGGCTGGCCTTCAAACTCACTATGTAATGCAGGCTGGCCTCGAACTTGAAGCCATCTTCCTGCCTCAGCCTCCTGAGTGGTGGCATGATAGGTGTGCACCACCACACCTGGCTCAACTACAATATTGTAAACCAATGTGTTACTTCACCTAGGTGGTGCCGTCAGCGGCCAGGTCTGAGGAAGTTCCCAAAACTGAGATTAGGAAGCTAACACCTGCCCCACCAGTAGAATAGGATTGCAGGTTCACTGACTCGTAGCAGAAAAATAATTTTCAGGGTGAATCAGTAAGAGGCTCAGAAGGGTTTATTAGGCAGAAAGTGGAAATTCCACACTCAAATAGTGTGGGTCTTTGAGAGGATGGACCCAGGTGGGCTTTTTGTTTTTTAAGATAGGTAGTTTAAACATTCTTTGGATTCTCTCAACTGTTATCTTAGGATCAGGTTCCTGCTTTCTCAATTAAGCCAATTTATGAACTTTCAGCATTCCTGAGGTATTTTGGGTGTGATGGGTCTGAAGAAGCCTGAATTTAACCAAGGGAACGAACATAAGGATCACCTTTGACTGGGTCCTGGAAGTTAGTCTTCTTAAAAACATGATTTTTGGGCCGGGGATTTAGCTCAGTGGTTCCGGCGCCTCCCTCACAGCACAAGGTCCTGAGTTCGATCCCCGGTACCAAAAAAACCATGATTTTTTTTTTTAGTTATGATTTCCATGTTTCCTTTGATCCTATCCTACCTCAGTCCAAGCCTAGTGACCTACAGGCCAGAAGGAGGCCTGTGAAGCTCTTTGAGCCGAGACAAGCATGCAGACAGCGTTTCAGGTAGATGAGGTGGAAAGCAAGCTATGGAGTCACTACTGTCAACCACCCGGCGCTGCACTCCATACACTAGAAACATGTTATCTTGTGCTAGATGTGGGGAGTACCTGAGAGTGTGAGGGGCATGCTTCCCGGGAGTTTAACCTTTAGTTAGAGACACACACCTAATAACCCACAGTACGTGCTGCTCAGGGACTGGGACTGGCACTGAAGATCCAGCAGCTACAATGGGAAGAGAGCAGCTGCCTGTAACAGCTTTTGGAGAGAGGCTGAGCAGCTGAGGCATGAGGATACCCTCACTGGTCTATCAAAGCCCTTTCTGGCATCTGTTTCCACTTCTTTTTTTTTTTTTCTAGTGTTGGAGATTGAATCCAGGTCTTCATACTGAGCTACACCACCAGCTATTTAAAAATTTTGACGGGGTTTCATGAAGTTGTAAAATTACCCAGGCCGGGCTCAAATGTGCAATCCTCCTGCCTCAGCCTCCCAGAGTGCACCCCCCCACTCAGCTACTTTGAGCATCTTGATGGCTCTTTCCTTCAGCTTGGTCTGCCAAGGTCCAACCTGGTTCAGCTTTATCCTGTGACTTTCTCTTTCTTCTTTTGGTACCGGGGATCGAACTCAGGATCTTGCACTTGCTTTCTCTATCTTTACAAGATTCTCAAAACCCGAATCCTGCAACTGATCTTATCAGCTTACAGTAGCACAGGGAAGGGGGAGTTTCTTATCTTTCGATGTTCTCAGATACACAACACAAAAGAGGGATTCAGTGACATATCTTTATTATATTAAGGTTAAATTGAAAATATTTCATATAAAACATGAGGGGAAAATAACTTTAAAATATTTATCCTGAGGGTGAAATCTAAGTTTGGAGGTAGAACAGTCACATGGTTTCTACCAGCAGTAAAAGAGCTGCAAGGTGTTACCGCAGGGACACTGGCAAGCCGTAGGCTATGGGTGCGGCTCCAATAAGATACTTGAGTCGGGGAGCCTGGCGGGCCTGGCTGACATAGTAGAGAAGAGGGGCCCCTGGGCCTGCGTTGAGCCAGCCCTGCAGGAGAGCCTCTGTGTAGCGGTCAATGTCACGGTCAGTCACGTCCCAGAGATTACCCAGAAACAGGGGGCTGGGAAAAGAGACAAAATACAAAGTGAGGGCTCTGTAACAGATGACCCTGGAAGATAGCGGTGGGGGAGAAGAGAGGACTGAACCAATAAGGAACTACCTTGGCCCATGGTTCCAGGAGGAGGACAGAAGGGGACCAAGGGCTAAAGGCTCCTCAGGGAACCAGGATGGAAGGAAGGTGAGGGATGAGAGGAAGGAGTCAGGGCTCAGAGCTGAGAAAGAACCCAGGGGAGGTACAGGAGTTTTAATGCCCTAGGACAGGTCTCGCCCCTTGAGCCTCACCAGCCAGCCATGATGTACTTGAGCACGATGCCAGCCCCCTCCAGGTTTCCATGCACAGCCAGGGCCCCGCTGCTGCATCCAAACAACAGGGCCACTGGCCGGCAGCTGAGCCGCAGGACCGCCTGCCCATCAAGGAAGCGGGCACCAGCCCCGTGCCCTGCATATCTAAGGCAGAAGGAAGTGAGATAAGCACTAACCTACGAGAACCAGGCCTCAGCCTGTGACTCCAGACTCTACCATGCCAGAGCAACCCACAGTGATAGTATCCTCAGGGCTGCCCCTTTCCTCACCCTACTCTATACACTCACATGTATAAGTCATGTTCTGTCAGGGCCGCCTGCACCTGGTCCGGGCTTGGCACCTCCCCGACCACCCCTCTCCAGCCAGCTTCACTGCAGAGAAAAGGCGGGAGTAAGAATAGGACCTGCACCACAGGGATCACGTGGCAACGAGGACAGAGGGGACAGGAGACGGAGGTGGCTGCAACGACTGATTCTGGGGAAAAGGCACAGTGCTCTCAGCCCTCTGACCTGCTAAACTTGGCTCGAAATTGCTCCTCTGTGCTTGACAGGTTGTTGTGAGGGTTTAGGACATAGAAGGTGCTCTGTGGATCCACCCCTCGGCTCAGCACGGATGAGGCCCCAGCCTGAGGGGAGACACTGGTGATCAGGACAGGGTCCCGCTCTAAGTCCAACCTTCCTTGGCCTCCAAACTCCAAACCTCTTTCCACATCTGAGCATTTCTGAGAACTGCTTGCTGTCCTCTAAGGTCTCTCTCTTTCTTCAGTTCCCCTCCAATCACCAATCCTCCCTAGACCCGACCCTCTGAATCCCACCTCTTTGATGATGGAATAGCTGAGCAGGAAGTGGAAGGAGGGCAGCCGGGTGACAGGCAGTGCTCGAAGGGAGGGCATGCTTTCCCATGGCAGCTTCTGGAGGTCCTGAGCAAAATGCACTCCAAAGTTACTGTCCTTAGCCAGGGAACAAGGAGGCCTGGGGGGAGCTGGTGCCCACTACCCACTGCCCCCTCTTACCTTGTCCAGCACCAAGACAAGATGCTTATTGCTTGGTGCCGCCTGGCCCTGTAGATGCCTGACTGCCTCAGTCAGGAGCTCTTGGGCTCGGTCTGGCTGGGTCGGGCACAGCCCGTAGGCCAGAGCCTGAATGTCCTGGGTCGTGAGGGTACCAGCACCACTGAGCAAGACCTACAGGGGAATAGGGTTAGCAGGTGCCACACCCAGTGGCTTCCCCTTCCCTGCAGCCTGAACTCACTTTTAGCAGAGTGGTGTCAGGATACTGCCAGCCACAGTCCTGCAGCAACTCTTGCAGGCGGGAGGCCTCCTGTGCAGGGCCGGGCTCCTCACTGGAGGGCAGCAGCAGCCCCCGCCAGCAGCCCAACACATGCTTCTCCAGGGATGTGATGAGGTCCTGGGTGCGGGAACAGAGCCTTCAGACAGGAAGCTGGAAGTCATACTTTCCCCACAGGCACCAATATTTTGGAGCTAAGGAAAGCAGCTTCCAATGTATATGCGTGCCCTACATATCTTTCTGCCAGTCATATGAGTCAGAGTCTGGAATATTTTGTCATTTCCTCAGACTCTGGGAGTAAAGACTATTTATTATATATTGATGTGTTGTGACAAATATGAACAGGTGGGCAATGAAGGCTATAGCCAGGAAGCTGACACTTGGGCTTAAATACTTTTATCTTTTTTTTTTTTTTAAAGCAGTGGCAAAGTTTATTCAAGAAAGAGGAAATGAAGAAGGGTGGGGGGAGAAACTTGCTCTGTAGAGCGAGCTTGGGCTGAATAAAGAGAAAAAGAGGGTGGGAGCAAAGACAAAAGTATATACTGTGTCTGGGAAACCCAGTGTGGGTTATTGTGGAAAGTCACGATAGCACCACTCCTAATGGCTGCCTTTCTTTTATGATGTCCAAATCTCAAGGAAACCCTCAAGAACTTCCACATCTGGGTCCTGAGAGGGGGTGCTGAGACCACATGCTTCAGGCTGCTGTCAGGTCTCGGCATCCTACTGAAAACCTCTACTTTTATCTTTTTTAAAAATTTGAGCCGGGCATGGTGGTGCACAACAAGTATTGCATCCCAGTACCTGGGAGACTGGGGCAGAACTGTCTTGAATTTGAGGCCAGCCTGGGTTACACAGTGAGTTCAGGGCCAGCCTAAACTACAAAGTGAGACCCTGTCTCAAAAAACCCAAAACCTTGAGACAGGGTCTTGCTAAGTTGCCCAGGTTACTTCAAGCTCCCAATCCTCTTGCCTCAGCCTCCTGAGAGGTTGGGATTAAAGAAAGGCAGGTGCCACATCAGCTCTTCTGTCTCTTTAAATA